GCATCATGTACTTCAATTTTCTGCATATTGTTCGCCTTAGCTGTTACTATTGCAAGATCAGATTCTACTGTTATCCAATAAGGAGGCACGATATAATCTCGAAAGTGAATAGGAAAAAATCGATTGTTGACCCCAAAAAATGAGCTCAACAGATGTCAGGCCCACTCTTGCCACATGAAGTCAGATCCGGCGCCTTTCTACCGGAACGGAAACGGTAGTCTAGCAGGAATGGACGCGGGAGGCACTTTTCAGCAAGAGACAAAAATGTTCGGATTTCGACGGTGTGATTTGAAGGCAAACACGCTATCAATGATTGCCAGCCCAGATTCATCAAGAATAAATCTCTCATTTATAGTAGAATATGTGGAATGATAGATATAATAAAATGGTGTTTTGTGTTGGAATCTTGAAATATTTGCTACTGTGTTTGCAAAATATGTAAAGAACAATATGCATAAATCCTCTTCAAACTCTCTATGTTTCACGAGAGTGAAGGTATATTTTTGTACTTTTTTGTATGATTACAAAGATCTCAATCTCTTTTTCTTTACAAAGAGAGCCTATTTATGCTGTTTTGGCCGAGATGGTGACCATTGGATCAAAACCACGTAACCTCATCTCCTTTGTTAGGACGTCACATCATTGTCCGTTCATGCAATTAATGCATTGATAAAGGGTCAGCCCCTCTATACAATAGGCTGATATACTGTCAAAATTTTATTACATACGTCACATCAATCACTTTTAAAAGATCTTCAAATCTATTATAAGAGACAGCGTCATGCACTTCGGAAGAGCTAAGAGCTTGGAGAGATCTTTGAGGTGGTTCTCTAAGTGAAGAGCCTCAGCTCCTTTCTTCGTATCCTTAGGTAGTGGTTCAGCTCAAGGTTGTAGAGCTTCGTCCTTGGGGCAATGCCTCAGCATGGACCTCGGTTTGTACCTCTTTAGGCACTTCGACTAGCCATTTGGGGAGCCTCGGTTGTACCTCTTTAGGCACCTTGGCTAGTCTTATTTTGATGGGATAACATTGATGTTCCTCAACAAGAACATGAGATAAAGATAAATAAAAAATGGACAGATACCGTAGGATACTTTTAGCGCCCGATTCCTCAGAAAATGCTTCTGCAACAACAACTAAATCATTAAAGAAAGTAATCCATCACCAACTTATTCATGTTTTGTATAAGAATCTTTGCCTCGCTGAGTCCTTCGTCCCACTTCTCTTTAGTAAACACTTTCACCCATGAACCTGCATTAATGCAATTTACCACAAAATTCTCATGCCCTTAATATATAATTTGATCGGTGAAACTCGTAATTTCTTGAATCTTAATAGAATTAGGGATTATATGCCTACAACACTATGCCTTTTCATTCTTCAAGATAAAATTTATCATGCATTACTCTTAGAAATCAAGATTAGGGGTTAAACTTCAAAATCTTGAATCCAAATAAACCCAATTTGGCGAACTAAATAAATTATAACAATCATATATTGTGTCTCCATTTATCATTGCTCGAAATTTTAATAAATTCTTCCCAAGTCTTGAAACCCTAAAGTGTTGGAACATATTCAATCAAAACATTAAAGTCAAATGAGCAATTTGATCCTAAGACTCAAAAATAGGCCACAGACTTCCAGATTATTTGCTCAAATGAAACACATTTTACGGGCATATTAAGAAATAAATCTCCCGTCAAATAATTACATAGACAAAAAAAAGTACCGGAGGATCCATTTTCTTCTGGGCAAGCTTGCAGAGAAACCGAGAAAGTTGTCAAGCTGTGAGTTTCGGCGGGTTAGAGCATCGCTCTAATTTCAAAGAACATATTCTATAGTCTAAGGAGTATTTTATAAATTGAAAGATCAAAAAATTTAAAATGCTCCAACAATCTCTTTATTTTTTACATTTCCTCTAATAATTATATCATTTCCCTCCATTTTCTTCAACTCGTCTGCTGGTCCTCATTTTCACATCATTCCAAACAAATTCAAGGTCTACTCATTTTAGAAAAAATATAATCTTTCTTATACAGGAAAAGAAATGCATCGTGTTCTTTTTGAATATGTCTTCCAGTAGACTAATCAAATTGATTCTTGATGACTCTTGACTGCGATGATGATTTGGAGATGGCAATAACATTTGTTGCATGAATATGCTGAATTTCACATAATGATGAAGACAACAATTTCTACCATATGTTGGACTTTTGCATGAGAAAAAAAAACTAGTTAACCCACAATATGTAAGCAAAAACTCATGGATCTGCTTCCGCAGATTTTAGTTGCTCCCTTAATCAAGCTAAACTCAACGACCTACAGTTCTTTTTACAAGCATTTTCCTTTTGACATTGCATATAAAATCTGCTTTCCAGTTGTGTCTATCATCGTTATCCTTTCATCCACTTCCATTTGTTCCAATCAAAGCTTTTCTTGCTCATAGGCAAGTCTCTCTTGTTCTTGAGCATATTGTCTTTCAAACATTTCTATTTTCTTCTCATTGAATTGTTTCTTTTCTTCTCTCGTTGCTCATAAAAAAGTCACACATGCACTTGATGAGTCATTTCTAGTATCTTTATCCTTCATCTTCTTTCGATTTTTTCTGCCTTTCCTCCTGGAGGTCTTTCCAAGTCCACGAAGTTAGAATTTGGAATATTATCGTCTCTAAGATTCACATACTCTCTCGTGTGTGACCAAACGTGAAATCAGAGGAAGAACTTATGGTTTTATTTCTTATCCGTTTTTTATTTTGGCAATCTTCCAACCACTTTGGCTGGTACCTCAACGTATTCCAACAATGTTCAAATTGGAATGGATGTTTGTCTTTAATTAATTCTTCTTACAAGAGTTTTGCATTAGATATGAATTATCAATAATATGTATATCAAAATAAATACTATAGTAAATACCTTATCTTGCTCATTAACACCATTTTGGTTTCTAGGTTCAATTTGGGCATAGCATTCACAAAATTTATTTGTAATCAGTTGAATGGTTGACCAATGGTTCATCAAAGAAACTTGTGCTTACGTAGATTCAAAATTCTTGTACTTGTGAAAGTATTCCCACAATCGAGTCCAAAAAAAGACCTTTTGTTTCTGTTCATTTCCATGTAGTGCATCCTGTTAGATTTTTTATGTAACTGGTGAGTCTGTGAAAAAAAGAGACTTAAGTTTTAAATGTTGAAAAAGTCAATGAGTATGTTGCAAATAGTAGAAATTGAGTTATATTAGTTCAAAAATGAAAGAAGAGAAAAAACCGACGCCGTAATTTCGCTAGACTGTCGTCATGATTTGGCTCGAGCATCAGAAACACTAAAATAGGATTAGATTACAATATTAATAAATTAAACTTCAGAAATATACTGGCAAAAAGATTAGGTCAAAGTCATATGCAAAATTATGAAATTAGTAAATAAAAAATACGTGAAAAGATTTACGTAAAATGACGAATTATTACAGGTTGGGCTTTTCATTTTCTGGGATACCTTTTACCCTGGGCCTAACCCAGGGGAGCCCATAAAAGGGTCCACCATGTTGACAGGACCAGTGTAATTAGAGTTGGTGATAGACTAGTCACGTTTTATATGTTTTTACGTTGCAAAAGTTTGAATCTTTGTCTTGCCGCCTAATTGCAGTTTACATGTGTGGACACACTAAAAATGTAGCCCAAAGAGTGATGCCCAATTGGAGAGTCCATGATAAAGGCCTAAATAAGGTTATTTGTGAATGTAGAGGAAGTCCACGAACATACTAACATTATCGTCCAAACTTGCAAGACGCCCAGAATCTGAGCGAATGGAATGCCTTACGGTCGACCAGAGCGATAACTTCGTTCTCGCCCGAACCTTCGAGTCGCCCAGAATCTTAACACATGAGATATTATAGTTATCCAGAATTCCAGAATAGCAGTTATTGAAACAGTTATCGAACAGATTATCACATTCCACGATTTAAGGAGTCCATATGAAGGCTGTTGAACTACAAAAGAGTAATGACAACAGTTAGAGATGGCAGTTCCACAACAAGTTAGCCACTATGAAGAAAGTTGGTAGTTAAAAAGCAATCAAACAGTTTCAAAGCGGTTTGTCACGAAGAAATCATCATGAAAATATTAAAGGAAGAAAAGACATTGAGGAAAGGACCCCAAATCAAATACTATCAAACAGAGAATATACAATTTCAATTTTTTAGATTAACTTTAATTATCTCTTTTCAGTACTCGTGTGCTTGCGCTACTTGGAGACATTATGTTTATTTCCAATTGTAACTCTCATCAATAAAGCACCACTTTTTTGGGACTTTGTCTAAAGAGGTTTGTCCCTTATACAATCGTCTGAATTTCTTTTTTAATTGTTAGCGACAACTTGCGCGAAACAACGTGTTTTAAACACTGATTATAGTGTAGTTACAAGATAATTAAAAGAAGCGTATACATATGTGCAAAATAAAATTTATCCGCCTTCGCATTGTCGACTCGTAACAGAAAGAAACATTTTTTGTTCTTCCATTTTAAAAATATTTTCGAGGTTGAGAAACTTAATTCTTGCCCTAGTTTATTGTTTTGTATATATTTTTAAGTGTAATAAGATTCAATTAAGATTTTATTTATTTTTTTGACAAAAAGAATCATTTTTTAATTTTTCTACAACAAGAATGGAGAATGTTTTTTTAACTTAAATCTTTTTTTTTTTTTTTGACAAAAAGAAAATATTTTAAATTTGCGTGTAAATATTATTTGAATGAAGACTGTTTTATTAAAAAGAAGAAAAAAATGTATTTTGAAAATAACGAGAATGTTAAATAAAATATGAATATAAAAATGGATAATAGCATGGAAACTAAAGTTAAAAAATGCACATTTTTCTTACGTTTGGCGCCGCAACGATAACAACATTATACGCCGGCTTAGAATGGGAGCTGTGGAATTGGAATTTTCGTAAAAAGCATATGTAACATTAGTTTGAGAGAATCTAATTGATGGATACAAGCCTGCATAGCATATTCTTTTCAAAATTCAATTCAACAAAAGCATATTCTTTTCAAAATTCAATTCGATTATTTTAATTATAATTAGGATTTACTGATTTGATAAGATATGTTAATCGATAAAATATTCATCAAATTATACGTAACTAAATGATTAAATTCCTATCACTCGTCTAATCAAGGCGAGCTGAACATTTATGCCAACGTCAAGTTGGCTCAGGTCAAACGACACAACCTCGCATACTTATCTTAATGAAAATGATTACTTCTAACTTCGGATTACCGTCGGACAAATTTGTGGACTCATATTAAATTAGTATAAGAAATGTGATGAAAGATAATAATTATGACAGTAAATTTCAATTGAGAAATTACAAATTTAATGCCCAACCTACTTAAATTTCGTAATTCATGATATATATCCTTCTAGAGTTCAATATGAAAATGTGCCCAACAAACAAAAGGGGGTAATTTTGTCCTTTTGATGCCCCAGCCTACCCTAAACCAACCAATGTCCTTCACGAGGTTTTCTTGCAGCACCACAACTTTACCGGAAATCTGAAGCCAAAATGGTAGCCCAAAGAATTCCATGTATTTACAAAATTAACCCCAGAAATATCATTCCTATACAAATTCACCCGTACTCTTCATAAGTTGTTTCACATTTCACTGTCTAAACCCCATATTTCCCGTGTGGGTCGGGTGCCGAATCCCAAACGGGTCGAGCGAGTTGGAGAATCTCTGAGCGTACGCATTAGCATTCTGCGGAAAGAACCCCGAGTTACTGTCGACTCGCTGAGTTCTGAGTCCGCTCTCTACTTCATCATCCCCAATGATAAAATGGCCAGCCTGTGGCACAGCAGGGGCATACATGTCATTTTGACCACGGATGTCCTCAATCTTAAGGTTGTTGACCTGTGCGTGAGTCTGACTCGGCTGAGCTTGAGAGGGTTCAAGCAACGAGTTGAGATTAGCTATATTGGCCCAGTCAAAATTCCCAGAACCCAACTTTTGAAGATTGACCTTTTGATCCTCTTGTTGAAATGTCCTCAATGGATTCATTCTTGTAAGAGAGAAAAAACGGTCATTAATATCTGGTAAAGACTCCAAAACGTCGTCGTACTGCGATGAAGATGACGATGATGAACCATGGCTATACTCTTTGCTCTGCACCATACCAGAATCTGTTGGCTTCTGTCCACTTGAATTCTTCTTGTAAATTCGACACAAAACCCAATCATCCAACTACAAAAAGTAAAATACACAAAACCCATTAGCATAACAGCTTAAAAAAGGAACAAGATTTGAACTTTTCGCGGTTGAACTTACCCTTGAGCTTCCATTTTTCTTCGGGGATTCAGAGAGTCTATATTCATGCATAATCCAATTGGTTTTGGTTCCTTTAGGTGCTTTTCCTACGTAAAACACGAGGGCTTTTTTAATACCAACTTTCCTCCCTTCTGAAGTAATAACCTTGTCAGTGCCCGTGGCTTTCCAATATCCAGAACCCGCCACTCTATTTGGCCTCGATCCATTCGGGTATTTTCTGTCTCTGGGACTGAAAAAGTACCATTCTTTTTCTCCAAAGATAGCTTTACCTGAAAAGAAACACGCAAGAAATCAGAAATGAAACAATAAAAATAGAATTATGAAGTGAAGAATTGCAATACTTACTGGGAAGATCCCATGGATCAAATTTATACAAATCAATATCTCCAATGATTTGTAAAGAAAAATGGTAGCCAGCAATTTTCCTGCATAAATATTGAACCATGAGCTCTTCATCGGTCGGGTAAAATCGAAAACCCGGGGGCAAACTCAGCTGTGAAAGCGGATCCATTTCTTGAATACCCATGACTTTCAAATGATTTACTGCAGCTTTTTGAAAGAGGAACTAACAAATTGTTACAATTCTCGAAACTTTTTTTTCTCCGAAAACAGAGATTTGGCTGTTATTTATAGAGCAGGAAAAAATAGGGATAAGCACGGGTGTCGTTTTCGGAGCGTCCGAAAATGGGTCCCACAAAGTTTTATCCTTGTTTAAATGCTGCCACGCTATAGTGTGTGGCGGTAAAGCCTTGGACCAAGTGCATGAACCATTACGATAATACAAGAGCATCTCACACGTGTTTTTAATTTTTTTTTCTCTCACATTAACTTCTACGAAATATATAGAATCGACGTCACTGATTTTGTCTATATTGAGGTTGCCATACCATGTTTCATGTGTGACTCGGTTGATTTGTGTGAATTAGTGATGGCTAAACCATAAATTAGGAGAAGTCTAAGCATGATTATGTCTCTAACTCAATTAGCCAACTTGGTTAAGATGAGAATTTATGGGAGTCAAAAAGAAAATCGTCATAAAAATAAATATTAACATCAGATCAAATTAATGCGTCAAAAATCAATTCGCTCTATGAAAAAGTTCCCAATGGATCTTGGTTTACGAGTAAAACAGTGATGTAGAGCATGTTTGTCCAGGATTAAAATCCATTTGAAAATATAACCGTTATTGGGTCTCACTCGTCTAATAAAAGTCAACAATAACGGCTACTTTTTCAATATTAATCCAATTTTAATCTTTATCGAACACGCCCGTAATCTACTTAAATTTGACGGTCTGTCCAAAAATTGTCTACAAGCATTGTACTTCAAAATTAAATTAGAAAATAATTTCGTAATTTATAATTAAGATTATTTGGAGTATATTTAGCACAATATTGTTCATTAATTAACATTTTAATTATTCGACTTTAAGTTAGTAGTAATTTTACTAACTAATTTTTAGAATTACAGTTGTTGGTTCCTTGGTAATTTTCAAGCGTGAGTAAAAAACACGTCGGCAAAAAGGTGGGTGGTGCGTAGTACACGTGTACATAGAAAAGGAGAATCGTCCAGAGTTAGGCAGTATATTTCAAAAGAAAGGATGGAGAAAGCCAATATAAAAAGAAAAAGAAAAGTATAATATTTGGCATCACAAAATCTCGACACGTTAGCATATTTTTTACATTTGTATTTTTCTTCAACTTTTTGAGGTTTCTTTCACTCTACAACTTCTGTTCTTGACTAATGGCCACATCTCTAAGCTGCAATCCTCTTTGGGTCAAAGATTGAATGGGAATTGGGATATTAGGGTTTTGATTGGGTTATTTTTGTACTTATGTGCACGTGTTGGTCTACAAATTTATTGTATTTTTTTGGAATGGGGCTTAATTTGAAATGTTTGGTGGGTCAAATGGACACGTCTGCGTTTTGAGGCTGAGATTGTGACAAGAAAGTGCCGTCATGTAATGAATAACTGGATGTAATATATTTTTATAAGGACCCGTTTAATAGATTTTTTTTTTCATGGAATACTTTTGCATATTTGATAGTCAAAATTTTCTATGGAAAATATTTTCCTCCCACCCCCCATGTGACCCATTTTTCCATGTTTTTTGTTGAATTGACTTTGGTGGGAAAATGGTTTTTAGCTTTTTTTTTTTTTTTGGGGTAATGAAAACAGATTTTATAGACAATTGTAAAGAAAATTTTCCCTTTAATGGACAGTTTTCATGAAAAATAAAGTCAAACGAACACCAAAAAATCCAAATTTTCAACATTTTTCAGGTGAAAAATTATACCAATCAAACAAAATTAATTGACAATTCCCAAAAAAATAATTCTATGCAATTCAATTCCCCATAATTCATTTTATTTCCACCCAAATTTCATTATTACAATCAAACGGACCTAATATCAAAGTCTATCATTATTAAATTAATATTTTTTATGGTTTTGCATTCTCCCACAAGCTATATTTGATATTATTTAGAAGTTTTTTAACAATTTTTTTTATAATTGTATTTGACAATTATCTCTACGCCTCATTCATCGTTTAAACATATATGATTACCCTCGACGACATATTCCAACATCTTGTACATTAAATGAGACCACAAAGTATCGCACGTTTAAACACTACATCGATATGAAAAAAGAATATATTTCAACCGAATTAAAAATAAATTTTGAACATCTACTATTTTCATTTTGGTCATAACTTTACAAATAAACTCATATAGCACTACAAAACCCAAGTGTGAATGTGGTTATTACATCAAATATAATAATATATTTTTAATTTAGGTCAAATGTAAAGTTGTACCTAACAAGAAATTTAAAATGGATGAGCTGTCTCGTTTATCCGCACGTGCACATTTCTTTATAGACAAAACGTCACGCTTTACTCAATTCTTACTCTGAATATTCTTAATTATTCTTTAAACTAATTGTCAATTAAATATTAATTATTAGTCATGAAAAAAGGAAAGAAAGTGAAAATCTCTTTGACAAATTCGTTGGAAAAGTCAAATTGATTGTATGAAAATAGCAAGGAAATTAAAGAATAAATAAACTATTTGGATAATTAAAAAGGAAGAGTTGTAAAGTCTTTCTTAATTAAGTGATTAATATGTGGAAAAGCACTTTAATATTATTTTTTCATTCGAGAGGATATTTATTAGTCGCTCAGTTTATTGCGCTTTTTTACTTTGGAGAATCATTTTTTTTAAATTTTAAACCCCCGTTTGATCTACATTATTATATCATTAAAATGAAAAATACGGCCGTTATCCATCACATCAACGTTTAAATTCAAATTTTCTATTTCTCGTGTGGGCTCAATAACGATTATATTTTTCATTCTCATTCTATAATAATTTGACTCAAACAGGGCCACTTCTCTAAAAGGGCTAAAAAAAAAAAATTGTACTTCTTTAATCGCAAAGCAAGTTTAACAGCTTTTGTTATTGTTTCTACTTCTTGTTGAAAAAAAAAAAAATTCTAAACTACCTGAAATCAATTTCCTCTAAAAGCTCGACAAATAACTTTCAAAAAAATTATCCAAACATGTTTGAATGTAGCTTCTCAGTTTCAATTTTTGACTTTCGAAAACTTTGCGAAACGGCACTAAATAACTATATTTAAAGTAAAATTGCGTTTAACCTCCAATTAGAGTTTTTGAGCTCTCAAGAAGCCCTTTCAAACACACACACAGTCCAAAGTGCGAAAGCTCAAAAGAAGGCCCTGAGAATCTATATGATGATTTTTTATTTGGAAGAATATGATGAAATTAAAGGCCTCTACATAGCATGGTCCATATGGGTGTACATAATGTGAGAGGGGTGGAGCCCACGCTACCATCTCACATTATGTACACCTTATGTGTATTGCTATGTACACATAGCAATATTCTAAAATTATTGACATGGTTAGACATTTGCCAAATAAGATGCTAGATTGTGCAAATATGGCAAGAAAATAAATCAACTTTATAATCATTGGCAAACAAACATGCAACCACAATGTGACAATGATACAGACTCCGAATTTGGAAAGACAGACTCGCAACTTTTTACAATTCAAAAAGGTGACCAAATTGGCTTCCTCACAATTTCACACTTCAAATTCCAACACAGGCAACTGCTCCTCCTATCCTCGATACTTCTTGCAAAATAATCTCTCCTATGTCTAAGTCAGTGACGAACCTTGGACCTTGACCCTCAAAGAATTAGGCATCCACATTACATACTTCTTCGGGCCAGTTAAATTATATCCACGACATTGAACCCCAGTGTCTTTATTGAAGGGAAATCCTCAACCAAACACTTTCCATTAGTTTGTATGGAAGGATAGGTTTCTCCGGGCTTGTACTGTGATCCCAACAAAAGCTTGTAAGCATACTGAGTAATAGATAGATACTTAATCCACGATATGTATTTAGGAACATGTTGAACAAAAAATATCCACTGGATAGAAAGAAAACATTGCGATCACTGTTCCAAGTGTAACTGCAGATTCTTGATCCATGATCGCAGAACCAAGAGCAAGTCCTAGGCCTTGAGAAACTAAGACATTGAATAGGTTAATAATTTAGCCCGAAAAGAAGTTTCCAGGCGCGGGTTTTAAGCCTGCCAGTAGGTTATGGAGAAAAATGTTTTGGGAAAGATTAGCTCCATTGGTAGATCACCTAAAGTTCTTGCCATGAAGTATGATAAGAGTCTGTACATGCCTGAAGATCTTTCTTTCTCGAGCATCATACGTTCTTGGGGGGAGGTGAAAATGGCGTCAAAGAGAGGAACATAGCCCCAGAATTCCGAGTAGAAGAAGAGACATACATTTGTGTTTTTAACAGAATCATTAAATCTACTGAAAAATGTGCTCATAGTGATCTAGAACTAGAATTAGCACAGATTTTGTTGGAATAGGGAAAATAGTGTTACCTGATCTTGCAAGTGACTGATATCAGATTGCCACCATAATAGGCCAATAAAGACAATTACAGCTAGTATCTCTACAATCTTGAGGCCAGATAAAGATTCGTGCTTTCTTTCTTTCAATCCTCTTCTAAACAAGACTGAAAATTGTTCCCACCAACTTGATGGCCATTGCTTAACATCCTTGTTTTCTGTTCCTTCATGAAAATGACCATCACATTCTAATTCTGCCTTTACTCTTTGAGCAAGATTAGCCTTATAAGCAGACACCAAAAGCTGCTTAATTGAAGTTTGATTTTCCCTTGAATCATCTGTAGAAACTCCTGCAAAAACTGACATTTCATTCTGGAATTTTAATGTTTGGACTAAAAAAATTTAAAGTACTTTACAATACCATTTGTAAGATCTAACAGGAAATCTGAAGGATTCATGGCAACTGTAGGAGCAAACTGAAGGCCGAAGAAGTAATCCATAGTGTTCGAGCCCTTCCTGCAGCATAAAGGATTGTCTTCGGACAATAATAGCACCTTGTGGAACATGTAAAACAGCCTACTAGATGGCTGGTGAATTGTCCTCACAATTGTTCTGCCTCCATTAGCTAACTCCCATAATGTGGATAAAATCTTTTGAACAGTCGTAGAATCGAGGCCAGATGTTGGCTCATCTAGAAGCAATATAGTAGGATTTATGATCACTTCTTGTCCAATGCTAATCCTTTCCCTTTCACCCTCAGAAACGCCTCTCATAAAGGGATGTCATACAATACTGTCCCTGCAGGGTGACAATCCAAGTTGAGTTATCACAGCTTCTGTAATTATCACCTTTTCCTTTTTACAGAGACTATTAGGCAACCTCAGAAGAGCAGTATATACTAATGTTTCTGTCACAGTCAGGTGAGGGTACATAACATTATCTTGTGTGACAAATCCTATGTTACCTTTCATAGTACTCAAGAAGGGCTTGCCGTTGTAAGTTATTTTACCCTCGAGATGCCCAGCAAGTCGACCACCAAGTGCTGTTAATAGAGTGGTTTATGGACCTAGCATTGCTAAAATTTCACCAGGCAACACCGTTCCTGTAACTCCCTTTAAGATTGTTTTCTCTTCAGATTTTGATTTATTCAGAAATCCTCTACTTTTGCTTTTGATCTTGTAATCAACATCCTCAAACTGCATAGTGGTTGTACATTAGAGTACTGAAGTTAACTAAAAGACAATGGATAATTTGTAGTGGAACTCTTATTTTAATGATGTGATAATCTTTATACTAAAGAATTTGCACCAACTACAACACTTTTTACTAAACCATTTCAATTCTTAACAGGAGCATAAGTAGATCAATTACCAATCTTTAAATTCAAATTACAAAACCATATCTCATTTGGAGTCTTCGACTCAATTCTAGCTACTAGTAATCTATTAACCAGCACTAATATCTTTTATTTAGACTTATGTCTGTTTAGTACAAGTACGTTATATTCATATTTTCAGCAATCCCATTCTGATGTCGAGAAATTCTTTCTGTTATCGAGCCTCATTATCCCTTTATTAAATATAGGAATCCTCAAAGTGATCATCACAAAATTCCAAGCCATTTTGTTGTGAAGTATTTCAAAATATTTATACTAAACAAGATTAAAGAAAACCCGAAGTCTCAACATAATGTAACAGGACATTGCAAGCACGAATAAATGACTGGATAAAATTCATACCTTCAGAGTAACAGGACAAATAGCCTTCTTGAAGATGATCGGACTTCCATTACCCGGTGGTTGCTGAGTCTGCGTTACCACTTCCACCGTCAAACACCCCAACTTCCTATATATATAAATATATGTGTGTGTGTGTATATGTGACGCGAGAGAGATGACAGACCGAGAGGGGCTGCTTTTAATGGGGTTGTTCATTTCTGTTTAGGGATCGCCCTTTAAATCATTCACACCTTCGGAATTCTCTCATTCTCAGGGAATTTTAATCCAAAATGTTTTCAGTTTCTTGCTTTTAGTTGGTACACACTTTTGCCCAAGTAACTAAAATCCAATTTTAATTTCAATCAAATTCAACAGTTAATTTTAACTCATATTTTATAAAATATACAACTTTTCAACCATACATTTCATCGACTTTTATCAAAATTTACTAAAAATCCGATTTTAATCTACATCGAAAAAAGTGTTAAATCGTAATGCGTTAAGTGTTGCAACATGTTTAACTAAGATTAAAAAGGTAAATGATCAATTATAAGTAGTTTTTTAGATTTTTATTTTTAAATATATTTGAATATGTAACATTTTCCTATTTATTAATAAAAAAAATTCTTATTTTCATTTTCAACTTTCACAAATATCAAAATTATTTTATTTTTAAATTTACTTATTTGATTATTGGTAAAACATTTTATGCTTAAGCAAACATTCTCACAGTGCAACGCAATTTCCTACTTATTGTTGATGTCAAAAAGTGAGGTTACACACTTCAATTCAACAAGACATTATGGAAAAGCTGAAAAGGCTGTTAGCTCGGACTTATGTTTTAGTTTGAGCACTCGAAAAATGGTTGTGACCAACAAAATAATACTCAACATAAACTCCTTCCTGCGCACAGTAACACACCGTTAGTCATTTGTGACCTTTTCCAGTGGAAGTGGAAGCGGCCGCAAGGTGGTCACCGAAACATGACGTAATCTGAGGAATGATGTTCGGCTATGAGGTGGTCACTAGAATGTGACTGAGTGTATGTTTAAGTATTTGTCCAATACAAATTCAGTTCATCCGATACAAGTTCAATTCGTTCGCCACGTGGCAGCACAAAATCAATTCGTGCACACTTGGCAGAGAAACTGGATGGGCGAGGTAGAGGGCCTCTGAAGGCCCGTAACAGCAAGTATGCTTCCTTTACAAGTGTATTACAGAAAAGGATAAAAGTTTGGTCATCACAAGTGGAGGCTGGCTTCTTTCATATAGGGAAGGAATACAACATAAATTGCTAGTCATTTTCAACTACAATTGTCAATCTCGATTCAAGTGAAACTAGTCAAATCAATTGTTTGTGATTGGTAGATCAGAGCGACAGTAGCACAATGATTGCCTAAGTTGTAAGTTTGCTAACCTCACCTACACATCTTCTTCCTCATTGGTGGGTTTAGAAGGTTGGAGATAAATCCCTTACAATAAATGATTGTTGCTTATTTAAAACTGGTTATTATTCTTAAGTGGTTAGTTAACCGAACTCACTAGGTGCGTTTGAGGCGGTGTCAGGCTCGCCAAGCAAAGAGTCACCTCCTGCATAATACGAGTCGCTGTTTCAGCCCATTTTGATCTTGGTCGTGGATTCGAATTTTTTGAAGTTAATGGCCACAATCTTCCTAGGTTCATCCTTTAAATGGAAGCAGTTGAGCTTGAATTATCCTGTTAATTGTCGAGTTGAGCCACCGATATAAACAGCTCGTATATATGACTCATTTTAATAGACTATGCTGTCATTTTCTTTAGGCATAAGCATGCTGTGCTGGTTAAGTCATTTCATGTCACATGCATTTAGACAAACAAAAAGGGTGGACGAATCATTGTGAATTAATATGCATTTAGGGCTCTTGTTGTAAAGGAGAAGGTATTATCCCGTTGAAGCTATATTACTCTTTGATCTGGCTTGGAGGGAGAGGTGGTTCCTAATTTATATCATATGTACATGATCGAGAGATTTGATTGATTTACAAGTTGGTTAAGTCCAAATTACATGATCAACTTCGTCAATTTTTTTCTAAATTTTTATTAGTCAAGAAAAAGTCTTTTAGTCCAAGGAAATTCCAAGTGAGTCTTGATAATGGGTCTGGCATCCAACTGGCATTCATCATCGGCGCACGTCGTGTTTTGGGCCCACTAGGATGATTTTGGAATGATGGTGTCAGCAATCCTATGTGCTACAGAAAGGCCTCAAAGGCTATGGATTACTTTTCGGGCAATCTCATATCAGTCAATCGCAAGATCAGTTACAATTATTTTCTGTGTTAGAAAAATCCATGCTAATTCTAGATTTAAATCACTGTTAGCTAGGGTATTTTTCAGTAGTGTTAATGATTCTGTTCAAAAACACAAATGCAGGCAGGGCTGCTCTCCTTGTACTTCAATGCTGGGCCCACTTTCCTTTCTTTGAAACCATTTGCACTTTCCCCAAGAACATTTGATGCTCTAGAAAGAAAGATTTTCAGGCATGTGCAGACTCTCATGACCATACTACGTGGCAAGAACGTTTTTAGGTGATCTACCAATGGAGCCAATCCAACACATTTTCCTCCATAACCTGTTGGATGGCAAGCTTAAAACCCACGCCGATAAACTTCTATTAGTTAGTAGTTATCAAATAGCATGACTATGAATATACTAGACACAGCAATAGATAAATATTTCATTTCTATTATAGTCTAATTTAACAAACCAAACATTCTATTACGGGCCGTGTCAGATTCGCCACCGCACCCCCCGCGTGTCAGTAGAGGTGGTCCACACCAAGCATCGATCGAGGTGATTGCACATGGGACGAGCTGATTGTACATGCCAAAGTGAATGCATGAGGAACGAACTAAACACACGTCGGCGAAGGAACCGAACTCATCCGCAATTACACCGCGGATGCAAAGGCCTGCACTCCACTTCTGTAACGCTGCAACACCTCTCGTGCCTCGCCTAGCCTCGCCCATCAAAGATCTCTTGTACAAAGATCTTTCCAAAAGTCAAATCCCTGACTGATGGGACGTGTGACAGTACCCAAACGGTTACTTCAGCTGCCTTTGTCAGAAACATTCAATGCCAGCTAACCTATGGAGTGACGGATTGACACCTAGAATGGGATGAGCCATGAGGATCTGATAACAAATATCTCCTCATCCAACAGCTCCCATCTTCCCATCCTTAGTATAAATATCCCCTCCTTGTGCCAGAAGAAGGATTGTAATCCTACACATTCTCCTACAATACATTGCCAACTTGAGTACTATCTTCTCTCTTAAGTATTGGCACTCTATCACTATACACTTTATTAACCACTTCCCGACGAATGTTCTACCGCCGGTGAACCTTTTCTAGTTAAACTATAAACTGACTTGACCGTCGGAGTGCTCACGGTCGCTCATAACCCCTCCGAGAAAGGCCACATGTGACTAACGACGTGCTACGTATGCAGGGAAGAGCTGACTCGAAGACTTATTCTGTTGGCCACTTGTTGGAGCCATTTTTCGAGGTCAACACATTCCATAAAGATTAAGGATTCCAATCAACGAGATTCTTCATTGCTATTTGTATAGCTTGTTTGCATAAATATTAAACATTCATCTTACTCCTTATAGGAATCGAATGTGAAGCCTACGGTGCATTTGGCTTCTTCAAGTGCTAAATTAAACCCCTCAACCTCTTCGAGCGAGATCCTACCATTGTTCAACACATGAAGTTCTGAGGGCTTAAAGTCGCAAAAAAATTGGGATCATTTTCTTCTTCGACTCCAAGATGAGGGCCAATTCATGAAGACAGAAATACGATTCACAATGACGCGGAGAAAAGATGGCGAGGCCGATGCCAATCTTGGACCCCTTTAGTGCATTATCAATCTTATCAAAGAATTTGTCATCAGGTTTCATGTTCTTGTAGTCCAAAAACGAGCGAAAGTTCAGCCTGTAAAGATGATCAAACATCAACGAAGCTACCGTTCTCTTGGTGTCTTTAGCTCTGCAGTTAATGAACACATCAAATGGTGTCCGAATGATTCTATGTTTTCGACTATTAAGGTTACGAATAACTTGACGTTGCAATAAGTTTATGGCTAATATCGCTGCATTGTTTTGGGGTTCATTTTTTTTCTTGCTTGGTATGTTATTGGTGATATATAGGTCGATTTAAGGTTATACGGACAAACTTTTTGATTCATTCTTGTTATTCTTTGCATGTGAAGAGAAATTCCAGAATAATATAAATAAGATTATGTGAAATCTAGAATAACGAAAACCTTTTATATGATTTCTTCTTCTTCTTCTTCTCCACGTGGTATGAAAATTCTCTTGACCCTTTGAGTACGTTCATAGAGTTTGTTTACACTAATGGTGTGACCAATCTTTTAGAGAAATGTGGTATTTCCTTTGGAAATGAAATCTATTTATATACTTGTACTTCAGTATTTTTCGAAGAATCATGCTATACTGTTAGATGCCTTGACATAATGTCATTATATCATTTGATCGTTTTAAATGCAGACAATTTTTTCATCAAATCATCTATTGTTATCTCGGATTATATCACTGCATCTGTTAAATTTCTTTTGGTGAAGTGACAAGATCCTTCTTCGAAGGGTCTCACTAATTAGTGGTAGATACCAAATTTTCTGTTAGAATAATTTATCTGTACTATCCAATTTCTTTTATTGGGCCCAAAATCATCCCTGGTCCAATATGAAATCTTCTCTTAGAAGTTTCAGCTGTGGACTCATGGACATATCGTGAAGCCCAATTTTCCATTTCCTAAAGTCAATTTTAAGTCGAGAAAAAATAATACAAAAACTTTAGTTGCAATAATTAAAAAATTAGAACATCTTTATTAGCCCCTATTTGGTTTGGTTAAAAATCAAATATTTTAGTAAATTTTGATTTTAAAAAATGATAAAATATATAATTGAAAGGTTGATAAAATTTGTCAGTTTCGTAAAATGCGTAGTTGAAGATGAGTTTCGGGAAAGTAATTTTAAGGCCAAACATAGGGTTAATCTATCTAGAAACTAAAATTTTCATCAAAGAAAATAAAAATAAAAATTGGTTCAGAGACAGAAAAGGCTATCCTGTTTCTCCCAACAACATGTTGTGCACAATTATTATTGTTTAATTTGTTGTCATATCTTTAATTTATTATGAAATAGTACAAAGCACATGTCTGCTACAGGCTTTAATCAACCTAATACAAAATGCTGCTTCCATTAATTGTACTTTCCACAACCTATGCTTTGTTAATTGTCAATTCGTTGCTACAGAAAGGCCACCGTCCTTTTATGAATGGTCGATATCTTTCTCCTGTGTTTATTCTGGTGTATTAAGATATCCAACTATGTGATTTTGACACAAAATATTGTTCGATTCGAGCTAATCATCGTACTCAATGAGGTTGAAGTTCATTACCTCAATAACACGTTCTAAATATTTTTTTGTTCTTTGGATCGATTATTGGAGATTTTTAATTACAAAATATTTATGGCAATTGCTAAAAATCGTAAATAACAATTGTCGCTAGTTATAATCTATCAATTGGTTACCAAGAATTCAAATGAACTTGATATATGCGGCACTGCGAGTGATGTGATCTCCCATCGTAGTCACGATCGAATAAGGTACTTATCATTTAAGGGGTTGTTTGTTTCTGATTCTCAAAATCAATTCTCATTTTCAACCACACATTCTTCAATAAAATAATATTTTCCATCACATCAATAATTTTTTCTTCTTTTTCAACCACACATTTCCCATAACATCACTATTCAAATCAATTCTTCCAAACAAGCACTAAATATAAAATTTCACTATATTATAAATCGCACATATTAAACTACAATTATAAAGAATATCATTGATATTCAATAGAATCAATAGTGTCCAAATATAGTCCCTAAACATTGCATAATTAACTATTATAGGTAAGTTGTCATATTAAAATCATTAAAAGATGGTGCCAATTGGACAAATATCTTGACAATTAGATTGTGGGAAATTTTAGTGGATGTATCATATGAAAAGTACAATTAATAATTAAAACCCAACTAATTATAATTTGATGTTTTGTTTCGATAACGAAGGCATCTAAATCATGCTCAAACAGGCTGTTGGGGGATCATGCCACGTGGTCTGTCTCTCTGTCACTAAATAAATCGTGACCACGTTACACATACATTATATTAGTAATTAATTATTTGCAAACCAGGAAAAAAAAAAGGGTAAAGCTTATATGGTAATGGCAGGAGGCTTCCCACTGCATACATTCATCGAATATAGATTTGTTTTATAATAGCTAAATATATTAGTAATTTATTGTGATGCTCATAAAAAATTCTAATTAAACGATTAAGTGCTCGCTCAATTTCAATATTTGAAAAAGTGATTATTTGAGAAGCCTTTTTTTTTTTAATGGGTGTGTGGTTAGAAAATAAAAAAAGGGGTGTTGATTAGTTAGTTCTCAAAAGAAATTTTCCCTTTATTGTCTGAAGGTTGACCGACTTTTCTCAAGAGAGTGTTTGGTGTAGATTAAAATCAGATTTTAAGTGGATTGTGATAAAAGTTTTTAAAATGTATGTTTGAAAAGATGTGGGACCCATGAAAGATGTGATTGATATTGATTGTTTGATTTTGACT